CACACCAGATTAAAATGTAAAAGTGAGAAACAGAGACAGAGTAAAGAAGCAGGGAGACAGATAAAAAGACAGAAATGAAGAGCTGTGTTTCTATCAGTGAAAAATAGTGAAGTATGAGGCAAGTGTGCTACCAAACCACAAGCTGGGTCCATTTGCATATCTTTTGGTGCTCTGTTTCCTTCTGCATGACGAGCTGAAATGAGAAGTATCAAATGCAAAACGTGCCTCTTTTTCTCTCTCTCTTTCTCTCTCTCTGTATCTCTGACAGGACCGAACATGCTAGAAGAACACAGCAGGGCCAGCGCGCACACACACACACACACACACACACACACATAGACTCTGGCAAATAATGCAAATTTACAGCTTTAGGCTTAACATCCATGAGTGAGAATCTAGAGAGGAGAAAGACAGAGAGAACGAGAAAATGACAGGGATAAAGGCAGAAAACACAGCTGGAGTTATGTAAAAGCATTTGTGCACTTAACAATTGTCAGCATAAGGTTATCAGTCTCTCTCTCTCTCTCTCTCTCTCTCTATCGCTCTCTCTCTCTCTCTCTCTCTCTTTCTCATTAGAGTTGTTTGTGCAGGTTCTATGCAGCTGAAGTAGCTCTGCTGCTCTGAGAATAAAGGCATGCTAGACCACACAGCACACTCACCCTCCTATCTCTTGCAGTGCAGTTATTGTACTAGTCAGGGACAGAATTATAATTGCATCATGTACCAGACTGCAGTGATACAATGACAACTAATACCACCATCTGGACTAGCTGCCAAACGTGAACAGTAACAGAGTACGGAATTCAACACCAAATATTAAATATTTTCAGGATAAACTCCAGCTACCCATGCAAAACTGATTAAATGTATTTGTGTGACTAAATAAATGTAAATATTCATGATAATTTATTTGTCAGATGCTATGTTTTCCAGTGTTAAGCTAAGACATGCTGTAGGTTTGCATTTGTTAATGCAGTGTATCTGGTGTGACTTCTGATGCTAGCAGTAATTTTGTGTAAAAATTCAATCTAAATGCAACAGCGAGTGACAGTGTTTTATTTTAAAATGTGTTTTATAGACAGTATAAAAATGTCTTCTTCAAATCAGGGTTTCTAGGTGAAGGCCTCAAGCATTACTCAGATCCAGAGTTTCAGATGTCTGTGTAATCTAAACATGGTTACATGTAAAATCTCACTGCTTTATTATTCGTGTCCCTCAGAAGTGGAACAATCTTTCCTTTTAGGTGGCACAATATAGTGTTTGTTAATCACTGGCTTTGCATTAGTGATAACAAAAGTCTGTAAAATGCGAATAAGCCCTTTATTAAATCACAAAAAAACATTATGTGCGTTGTGAGTATCCTGAACAATGGCAGACGTTACAGATGAGTTCCTGTGGTATTCTAATATGGATTCAAGGAATTTAAGGCCAAACTTCATATATGAAACTTACACAGTAATGTAAGTATGTAAATGTTTTTAGGTAATGCAAATGTCCTTAATAAATATTTAAGTTGTAATCTATTCACTTGCTTGGAAGTTGTTCTTTGGTAAATGTAAATGAGACTAGGTTGTTGCTGCTGTTGTACTGGTGCACAAGTTACTCTTGCACTTGATCAAGCTATGATAATAATCTTGAGGTTTAGATTATCAATCCTTCTCTGTGCTTTTAATCATTTTTTTAATCATGCTGGGCAAGTACAACTGCTAAATAAATAAATGTACATATAATTATCAAATTGTTTATGTGTACAATTAGGTGTGTTTCTACCAGGAAGACACTACACTACGGCCACTCAGAGCGGAGCGCTGCTTTAGGCAGTGAAAAACTGCTCAATATATTCTTAGCCGAATATCTGTATGGATTACTTCATCAAGATTGGAAGTTGCTGTACCGTAGCACAACATAACTAAGGCAGACTGCATAACAGCTTCGAACAAATCAAATAAGTGGTATCTGTGGAGCTGTTTTATCTGGCCATAAGGCATTAAGTTCTGACTAAACAAAAAATTAATCCCCTTTCTGACAAATGGACATCGTCCACTAGACTACGAGAGGCAGACGGAACGTGCTGCACATGGCCTTTAGTAGTAAACGTGCATGGAGCAAACATGTGCATGGCTTTGATTAGAAATACCTTTTATACAAGCTATTTATAGATGTGATGTCACAGGTCCATATGGATAGTGAAACATATGGATATGATGTAGCCGAGAGAGTTGCTGCTTTGCTCAATGCAGGCAACGGTGCTGTTGTTCTTTTCAAGCTTTCCAGGCTTTCAGCGAGGTCCTTACAGCAGAGGACTGTGGAAATGCCTCAGTGTCTATAACTGTGTGTACAGCAGAGAGCAGGAGAGAAACAGGAGGGTGCGAGTGGAGGGAAAACTGTCCTTTGCAGGGTGCAACGTTTCAGTTCCTGTCTAAAAGCCTGTAGCGATAGCCTTTTAGGACAAACACACACACACACACACACACACACACACACACACACACACACACACCTCTACTGCACAACAGAGCACAGAGAGCAACGAAGAGACACATCAGGCAGATGAAAGGTGCTCCCTACTGCGTTCTAATGTCACTTACAGCAACCGAGAGACAGGGAGAGAGAGAGAGAGAGAGAGAGAGAGACAGAGAGAGAGAGACAGAGAGAAAGAGAGAGTTGTTGACTAAATCTGCCTGGAGGTTTTTTGGCACTTGTTCTCCCAGAGTGTGTGAATTCTTAAAGAGAGAGGGAATTCCTTCTGACGACCAGTAACGGCACACATTTACACACATATGTACAGACCAGCTTCTTATGGTAATAAGTGCAGGCCTTGATGAGGAACTAAAGGAGTGATACGTTGAGGCTTGGTGTGTAAAAGGTTTACCCTGAACTTCAACAGAGTGAATTCTTTGACAATCCATTACGTCGTCAAGCTAGATTTTAGCACTGCCAGAAGCCCAGTGCCAATTTGCATGTTGATTTGCTTCCTTTTCCCATCAAATTAAAGAAACAGCAGCCTCTGTATTGCATAGTCATTGTAGAAAAATAAAACATACGTAAACGCTCTGTACTGCTAATCATCCATCCATCCATCATCTAAACCGCTTATCCTTCTGGGTCGCGGTGGGGTGCTGGAGCCTATCCCAGCTGTCATTAGGCGGAAGGCAGGATACACCCTGGACAGGTCTACTGCTAATCATGCATTACAAAAATGTATACACTAAAGAAAAACAGAAACAACAGCTGTGTTCCAATTCAGGGGCTGCATCCTTCGTAGGCTACATTTGAAGGCCTACTGCGTCACAGCCGCACGACTAGGCTGTTCCATTTCGAAGGCTCTTTGATATGCAGCCGAAAAATTTATATGTTAACGAAGGTAACAATGGGTGGATCCTTCCCCAGCCAACATATCCCAAGGTTCACTGCGTGCCGGAGAGAATTCAAGAACATGGAGGCGTCAGCAGAGGAGCGAACAGCGGCTGAGGAATACACTTTAAATGTGAGTATTGGGTTTAAACTGAATCAAATAGCTACAATAGATACAAATGTTAAAAAAGCCAATGTGGTCTGAAGCAAAACTTACGGTAGCATTTTGTTTTGTTTTAGGGAGCAAGGAGCTGACAGAGAGAAGCATCTCCAGTTCTAGTAAATGAAAAAAAAAAAAACTAAAATCAAAGTTTCTGGCTCCGTCTTTAAAGAACTTTAAAATGACTTGACAAGAACGGCATTTCGCGACACGACGATAAGGGCGGCAACAGCGGTGCTGTAACGCAAACAAGAAATACGCCGTAGAGCAGATCGTCTCATTTCAGTTCAGCCTTCGCAGGTCTACGCAGCCTTCGAAGGACACGTCTCAGTAGACCACGTCCTTCCAAGGATGCAGCCTCCGAATTGGGACGCAGCTAATATCTACAGAACTGTACAAAGGTGTGTAATGCATGTAATGAATGCAGTATATCACTGTTTTCAGAACAAAACCTTGTACCTTTTAACTCCATTTTTGTCAGTATTGTTGCTGTAGACCTTCACTATCATTACATAATCGTGTGATTGCAATTTTGTGAGCTGATCGTGAGCTGATTACAGATTTTACAATTATATGTTTACATCTCAACCTAGTCTATGGAGGGCAGCAGTGAGTACTTAATCACAGATTTTTTTTATGGCAATTAATCCTCAGCCAATATTTAGTGATTCTGACAGGCATACATTGCTGGCATAAAAAAACGTTATATTTGAAATGGTAACTTTATTTGACAACACAAGGAACAAAATGTCCTTTACTTTAATCTATTTTAACCAGATGTTGTTCCAAGTCATTTTATTGTTATTTCTATTTGTCCATTCATCATGATGTGTTCGCACAATGTAAGACGTAGCTGTTTTTTCCAAATGGTGAAATAAAAAGAAAAGCAAAATAAAAAACTGAGGTTTTGATATGACAGCGAGCAAGTATGGCAAAGAGTATTTCGAATCATGCACCTCAGTAAGTTTGGTCTATACTGTGTGTAAAAACCTAAAATTCATACCACAGCTGCACGGCAGTTCTGTCTTTGCTCTTGGGTACAAAACTGCACACTTGCGTAGTCTCTAATGCGGCCTGCAGCAGATTGCTCAAAAGGTTGCAAATGTAGTTTACGTAGTCCCCAAGTTTCACAAAGCTCTGTGCTCAATTCGAAACAGGCCCTATTTCTGTGTGTACTGCAGAAATAGCCAAGTACATGCGGAAGAGAAGTGGACAGACGTTCCAGACTAATGGTAAAGCCACCTTTTCTCACGAAAAGATTCTAATTATCGGCAGAAACCAGGCAAGGTCTAGACCTATTAATAAAATGTAATGTGATTTTACAAAATGGGCAAATTCTGCAATTGCCTTTATGCAAATCAGCTGGCTCATCCTGGAACTGCTTTGATCGTTCTGTTGCTTTCCTCAGCTCACACTGTTCCACTGTGCTCCCTCGGTCCAGCAGTAACACTGTCACTGGACGACCTTGAGCGTGATCTACACATACCTGAACCACACACTGGCGTTACACAGACATATGTGAGCTTGTCCCTTTCACACCATCGCTCCATCTTTATGTCTCTTTCGTTGCCACCTTTCTCTCTGAAAACGTGAAAAGGTAATTAGAAAACACAGCAGCACAAAAAGTCGCTGCTAGAAACAATCTGATGATTGCATTAGATAGCTTTTGCCTTAGTAAAGGGAAGAACGCACTTAGCCTTCTTCAGCTGCACAGTGTCCTCTCGAGCACAACAACAGAGAGAGAGACAGAGAGAGAGAGAGAGAGAGAGTAAGAGAGAGAGAGTCATAGTGGAGGGTTCAGTCCAATGACTGCAGCCCTAACGTGTTTCAACACAACAGCCGTCTTTAATCAAATAACACTAGGGAGCATGGACAGATCCAGCGTGCTCTACTGTGCCTGTGTGGACACACCGCCGTCCTGCATATCAAGGGAATAGAGATTTTCCTTCCCTCTCACACTCCGTCTTTTAATCTCTCCCTCTCTTTTCCTCTCTCTCTCCCTCTCCCGCTGTCGGCTCGTGTTGGCTGCTCTGGTTTTGTGAGCGCTCTGCTGGGGGATTCCTGCTAATTGCTTGCACATTCCCGTCTCCCTATATTAAAGCCAGGCCACCATTCTCCCCTACCATCTACAGTACTGCCACAAGAGACGGACCGAGAGAGAAAGACAGACATACAGAGAGAGAGAGAAATGTAGCGATAGGGAGAAAGGAGACAGAGAGAGAGAGACATCTATCTCTAGTCACTGTATTCAATCTGAGCAGTGGATATTGGTGAGCATACGCTCTCTGTAAAGCACAGATGTGCACATACAGTACTATCCAGTCACAGTCGGGGAGTGAGTATGCTGGTTTTAAATGAATATGGACAATCAGTTTACTCTAATGGGATGAGCCCGTTCTGCATGACAGGGCTTGTCAAACACTGCTGCAGGTGTGAGTTTGATTACGTGACCATATGTACATGCACACATATGTGCATGCAGGGTGTGTGCCCAGTGTGAGGTTTCTCCTCAAGCGCACGGGCAGTCTCGCAATCGAAGGTCGGAATTCAACAACACTGGCATCCTTTGACATCTTGAAGCAATCACAACTTTGCTGGGGGGTTATATGCCTAAGAGTGTGTTTGCATGTATATTTGTATGTGTGTGCATATGTGTGTGTGTATGAAAGGAGTTCCTGACATGATATCAGAGAATAAGAAGAAAATGCTGATAACTCAGGGAAGCATAGTCTATTTGGAACGTGTGCTATATTTGTTCCATTACGAAGAGGCAGGGGCATGTTTATCTGCTTTATCTTCTATAACGGGTGAGATGCCGGCACATTCCACAGTGTGTCTTACTCCAGCATAAACAACCCCCCTCCTCACACACACACACACACACTCACACACACACACACACACCCTCTCCCAAAACTACTAGGGATGCACTGGTATTGAAATTGCGGGCTGATCCGCTAACGCCGATACATGAACATTTGTACAATGTAGAAAGTGGGACTAGATCCACCTGGATTAGCACTGCAGAGAAATATAACATCTCTTTCTGTAGAGTTACACATACAGTAAAATGAATACAATGCATAAAATGCAGTCATTTTAACCCAGCAGCCCAGCATCACCTAAACATTCTGCTATTCCAAAGTACAGTAAATACGTCATCAACTACCGGTCTGAAATATCAGTCAAATCTAAGCTTGTCCAATCTAATTTTTTTAACTATTGTCTGACAGTACTGATACGATTCCAATCTACTACACACATGATCATGTTCTTTCTATGCTTATCTCTCGCAATTCTCCCATACAAATGCCTATCTACCACTCAAACAAATTACAGACACATTGATGCCTCCTTCTCTGTATCTTTCTCATATTTTTGGCATTGAAATGCTTGATCTATCACTCTTGAACAAACTACACATATGATGATGCTTTTTCTCTCTATATCTCTCATAAGTCTAGCCTAGAAATGTTTCATCTACCGCTCTTGAAGGAAACACATCCGAAAAGCTTCCTCTCCACCTCTCTCATGCTTTGAGCTGCGGAGACTTTCAATAAACCGCAGTGAGGAAGATGAGGCTTTGCGTGATCCAAACGTTTGCTTGCAGACACTCGTTTCCATATAAGTGGATGTCTGCATGGACAATTTACAGCCCACCATAAAAACAGAGCACGGAGTGCATGTTTCTAATTTGGTCCTTTAGTGTATCATCTACACCACTGGACACCCTGTGATTGCCTCTAATGTCATGACTTCGGGGTCACGGATTTTGGTAATGCAGTTAACTACTTGACTTCATCAACAATTCAGTAATCACACATGCACACTAGCACTCACACACACAAACACACAAAGTGATTAAGCCCTCCAGAACGATGACAGCTATTTATATTGCACCATCTGCGGTTGTAAAAGCGATATATAAGTTTAGAGGGGAAACAGTAAATAAAGGAATCCGCAGGACAGAATGTCGACCTTTCATACGTGCATAATGAGTGACGGGCAGGCAATCACATTGCTCGTTAAGAAAGACAGTCATAAAGACAGAGGACATTCCTCATTACATGAGCTTTTCACGCACACTAAAACATTAATCTCACTAATCCCATTCTCCTCAGCCAGTCCTGCTCCAAAAACTCACTTCCGTCAAGCATCCATCCGCCCGTTCTCTCACCCATTCATCTACAAGCAGCCAAGGACAAAATGAAACTTGATTTTCTATAGCTGGGCCTGGAAATCAAGAGTGTGTATGCATGCACAATATGCGACATATGTGTATGGTGCGTTACAAAGCAGAGATGAAGTGAGCTCAAATGGCTGGACTCCCAGACCACCGAACCATTTAGTTGTTGTAGTTGTCAAGGCAAAACCTCAGCAGTAATTTGCCACATTTCGGCAATGCATCACACTGTCCCTCAATCAGACACAGAACTTTTCTCTTGGTTATAAACATGCAAAGAAAAGCGAAGGAGACATCAGCTGTTCCTTCCGTTTAACCTGAGGGCGATTACATGCAAAGTACGCCTGGGCCAATCCGTATGTGTGTGCGAATGAGAGAGGGAGACTATGAGTGTTTTCTGAAACAGAGTGTGCACTGTGTGTGGCTGTTTCTATGATTTCTTAAAAGATTTCAAAGACAGCAGCCAGATATGAGCACATTTCCGAGAAAAGAAAAGGTGACAGTAGAGAGAGTGTGTGCATTTCTTAGAAGGAGAGACTGTATGTGTGAGTGTTGCAGGCTGCATAAGAGGTATTCCTCACGATGGAATGAAAGTGAACAGCAGCATCACACCTACAAATAACATCTACTGTCCCAGAGCACCCCCCTGCTCTGCTCTACAGGTATTTAATGTGCGCTCTCACTCTCTTTTTACCCTTCACTCCTCTGTTTCTGTTCCTGTGTGTGTGTGTTCCTGTGTGTATGTGTGTGTGTGTGTGCAAATGCATGCGCATATACTTATGCCTGTGTGTTTATGTGAAAAGGTACGATACTGTTTTCCCCCTTTTTTTCCACTGTTTACTTGACCAAGATTAACGGCGTACGAAGCGTTTACGACACATTCCAGAAGACCAGCCCCAAAAAAGCCTGTCTGCATTCCAGCATAACACACGCACCCCCCCAAAAAACAGCACCAGCTTCGGAGAAAAACACTCCGCAGACCTGCAGGATTCAGCCAGGAGAAAACTTAAAGCAACACACGCTCACACTTACACACACACACACGCATGCTCGCGTACATCTCGTTCGTGGCACATGTTCGGGCACACGCGACGTGGGGTCCCAGGGATGCCTTCAGTCGCATTGTCGTGACAGTGCATGAATGTATGCTTGTATGTGTATCTGAGCGCGCGTGTGTGTGCGTGTGATAGCATATGTGTTTGAGTGTGTCGGGAGGGGGGGTTCCTTACCGGACGGCACGAAATGAAGAACTTTGTTTGGTTCCATGATTCCCTCCTCAACCCATCATTTTCCTGTAGTCCAGAGACTAATGAGGGCGAGATCACCTCTGCTCTGCTCTCCTCCTGTCTCTCTCGCTCTCTCCTCCTTTCTCCCCTTCTACCTCTCCCTTTCTCTCTCTCTCTCTATTCCCCCTCACTCTCTCTCTCTCTCTCGCTCTCTCACAGACAGATTCAGTGAGTCAGCCTTGCTCTGCCTCCCTGGAGCTCTGACTCTGGGTCCTAAAGCCTGCCTCGCTGTCTCTGTCTCTGCCTACCTGCTGCCTGCCTGCAGTCATAATTCAAAACTAGCCTCAAGAACCATACAGCATATTAGTGTGTGTGTGTGTGTGTGTGTGTGTGTGTGTGTGTGTGTGTGTGTGTGTGTATAACGGGCCACAGAAAACAATGCCGCATATTAGTGTGTATGTGCTTGAGTAGGCGGGGGAACTGAGGCATGTTCGCTTTGATCGCAGTCACATTATGTATATTAGTGTAGTATGGTTAAGGTGGTAAGTTTTGGGCAGGTCTCACACTTAGGGGAAGTACAGCATGTGGTGCGCTGTACCAAACAATTAAATAAATAAATAAGACAACTCAGCATTCTGAAATTATTCAAACATAAAACATGAACACAAAAATATATACAAAGTTATTTTCAGACCTGTCACAATCATGAAGCAGACGATTAATTGCCAGATAAATAATTGCAATTAAGAACTTAATTGTCTTTTTTGTTTACTGTAGCTATTAAAATAATAACCTGAAGTGGCCAAATTGGCTGATTAGCCGTCTTGCTTTCTAGCTATTCAAACGCTGTTGCTCCAAATTGATGACAGAAACAGCTAAAGCTCATATAACAAAACATTACCCACCCAGCCCTCTAAACGTCTTACAGCATCAAGTCAGAAGTTTTCGCAAGACCCACAACATGTCTCGATAAAAGCCTATGATGCTTTCTTTTATGTGTATGCATTTGCCTCAACCCAATAGATGAAACCACTGTTGACACAGATGATCAATTGTGCACACACAGTCTGTCTAATCACGATAGGAAAGCACTGCCAATAGAATAGGACGATCTGGAGTAGCCACACATAAACCAAAGGTCGCCATGCCCAATGCTAT